CTGGCAGAGGCCCCTGTCCGTGGGATTTTCAATTCCCACCTCCGGAAGAGTTTTTCCTGCATCCCGGGGGAGGTTGGGGACATGGAGTCAGAGTGGTTCATGTTCAAAGCCTCCATTGCAGAAGCAGCCGTCAGGAGCTGTGGCCAGAAGGTCACTGGTGCCTGTCGCGGCGGCAACCCCAAAACCCGCTGGTGGACACCGGCGGTGTGGGAAGCCGTCTGGCTGTAGAAGGAGACCTTTCGGGCCTGGTTGGCTCGGGGGTCTCCTGAGGCAGCAGGCAAGTACTGGCTGGCCAAAAGGGCTGCAGCTGCGGCGGTTGTGGAAGCTAAAACTTGGGTGTGGGAGGAGTTCGGGGAGGCTATGGAGAAGGACTTTCGGTTGGCCCCGAAGAAGTTCTGGCAAACCGTCTGACGTCTCAGAAAGGGGAAGCTGGGATTCTCCCAGGCTGTGTACAGTTGGGGAGGAGAACTGCTGACCCAGACTGGGGACCTCGTCGAGCGGTGGAAGGAGCACTTCGAGGAACTCCTGAACCCGGTGAACACATCCTCTGATGAAGGGGCAGAGCCTGAAGATTCGGGGGCTTCTGCGTCCATATCCGTGGTAGAGGTCACCGAAGTAGTTAAGAAGCTCCCCGGTGGCAAAGCACCAGGTGTGGACGAGATTCGCCCTGAGATGCTGAAGGCTCTGGACATTGTCGGACTGTCATGGCTGACACGTGTCTTCAATGTCGCGTGGGCATCGGGTACAGTGCCTGTGGAGTGGCAGACCGGGGTGGTAGTTCCCATTTTTAAAAAGGGGGACCGGAGAGTGTGTGCCAATTATCGAGGTATCACACTTCTCAGCCTCCCCAGGAAAGTTTACTCTAGGGTGCTAGAAAGGAGGCTTCGGCCGATTGTCGAACCTCGGATTCAGGAGGGGCAATGCGGATTCCGTCCTGGTCGTGGAACAGTGGACCAGCTCTTTACCCTCGCAGAGCTGCTGAGGGGGGCATGGGAGTTCGACCTGCCAGTCCACATGTGCTTTGTGGATCTGGAGAAGGCCTATGACCGTGTCCCCCAAGGAACTCTGTGGGGGATACTGAGGGAGTATGGGGTACCGGGCTCGCTGCTACGAGCCATACGGTCCCTGTACAACCAAAGTGCGAGCTGTGTCCGCATTCTCGGCAATAAGTCGGACACGTTCCCAGTGGGTGTTGGACTCTGCCAGGGCTGCCCCTTGTCACCGATCCTGTTTGTGGTTTTCATGGACAGGATCTCGAGGCGCAGTCAGGGAGAGGAGGGTGTCCGGTTTGGGGACCCTTAGAATCTCGTCTCTGCTTTTTGCAGACGACGTGGTACTGTTGGCTCCATCAGACCGTGACCTTCAGCACTCATTGGAGCAATTTGCAGCCA